ATACTAATTTTGTGAGACCGTGAGACCAAATCTAAAAATAATTTTAAAATTCAAAATAAATGGAAAAATCCAAAAATTCTTTTTTTAAATATTATTTTCGGAACTTGAATTAACTAAAAAAAATTTTAAAAAATAAAAATAAATAAAAAATAAAAAAAATAAAATCCCGTTTTTTTTTTTAAATACGTGAAATATTCTAAATAGAATATTATACTGATATATTCTAAAAAATAATTTTAAAATGCAAAATAAATTGAAAAATCTGAAAATTCTTTTTTTAAATATTATTTTTGGAACTTGAATTAACTAAAAAAAAATAAAAATAAAAAATAAAAAAAAATCATATTTTTTTGAAAATACTTGAAGTAATCTAAATAGAATATTACAGTGTACATATTCTAAAAATAATTTTAAAATGCAAAATAAATGGAAAAATCAAAAAATTCTTTTTTTAAATATTATTTTCGGAACTTGAATTCACTAAAAAAAATTTAAAAAAATAAAAAAATAAATAAAGAAAATAAAAAAATGCTTCTCACGGTCTCACAAAATTAAGTCGTCTCACATGAACCTAACCCTATATATATATATATATATATATATATATATATATATATATATATATATATATATATATATATTTAGGACATAAGCGACAATTTTCACTGCAAAAGATGAATACAGTCGTTATAGATCGTGCAAGAAAGAGAGAACATATATTTAGGACATAGGTGATAGTTTTCATTCCAGAATATGAAGACAGTCGTTGTGAAGATAATATGATGTTAGATTTAAATGAGTTTTTTCTCTTTACAAGGACATGAGATTTGATTAGAGGAAAACCTCATTTAAATCTAACATCGCATTATCTTTACAATGAATGCCTCCATCTTTTGAAGTGAAAACTGTCGCCTATGTCTTTTTTATATGTCTGAAACCACCATATTTTTTATCTTTTAGTTTCTTTGTGATTGAAGTCGTTCTTACTGCATTTGTAAGTGTTGTTTCTGGACCTTATACAATAAAGGTATATCACACAATTACTACAACATTCTCACTTTTGTGACCTCCATATCTCGCTTATGCTCATCCTCAATAACATTTAGAACAATTTATGAGATAATGACTTAAAATGGGTAACAAACTTTCAATTGTGTTTACATTTAGTCATTAAACTTTTTCGTATTTGATTTTACTATTGAATTATTTGAAATTGTTCACATTTTACCCTTATGACCGGCTAAAAACGGTCATAAGGGTAACATTTACACGTTTCAACAAGTTTAAGGGTTAATACATCACGAAAAAAAAACTTTAGTGATCAAATATAATCGAAAGCTAAAATATGTTACCCTCTCAAGTTACCATCCCTTTATTTAGCGACTCACAATATATTTTTTTTCAATATTCTAATAGTATGTGCCAAAGTTTTTTTAAAAATAATTTTATTTTTCACGAAAACAATATCATTTTGCCAAAGCAAACGATCACTTATTACAAGAAAATGACCCAAAGAAAAGAGTAAATTACACAAATGGTCCCTATGGTTTAAGGTAATTTAAACGTTTGGTCCATAACTTATTTTTTTAACTCGAAAAGTCTCTATTGTTTGTTTTTGTTGCGCGTTTGATCACTGTCTTAATTAAAAAGATTATTTTGCACTTGATTTTTAATTATTTAAATAAACACACCCCAACCCCACCCCATTCATCTTACTTTAGATACCACACAATTTTTTGTTATTTAAATAATAGTCTTTTTAAATAAGACATGAACCAAACGCGTAGCAAAAACAAATAGTAGAGATCAAACGCGTAACAAAAACAAATAATAACGATCTTCCGAATTAAAAAAATAAATTAAAGATCAAACACGTAAATTATCCCAAACTATAGGGACCATTCATATAATTTACTCATGAAAATCGCACACTACATTACTCGGCTAGTCCATATGCTTTCTCCCATGTAAACTATTCTTGTTACGTGTGACTCGTTTCCTTGTATGCTTCATCTTAACAAATAAAAAATATTAACTTTTCGTTTTTTTCGATTTAATACTCCATATTTTATGTCTGATTCTTTATACAAATCCAAACTTATTTCTTGTGGATTTTTTTTTCTTTTGCAAGAATATGTTCTGTACACCAAACAAATTCATGAAAATGATGTCAAAGAAAGCAGTTCCGCGAATCATTACAAAAAAATAATTTATAATACAAATTTAAAATAGTAATAATAATAATTTAATATTATATATTTTTATTGATTTATTGATTGCTCTTGTTTTTACATGTAAATATGTAAATATTAATAAACTTTGAAACAATGTCGTTGCGGCGTCACGAGGCAGAATATAAAAAAGAAAGTGCCAGCTGGTCCGGCCGAACATTCCAACACGTGTCAAATATCTACTCACGCGTGGTATTTCGACACGTTGCCTTACCCCACTGTACCTAGACAACTACTTTTTCTTAAATTAATAATAAAAAGAAAAAACAGCCAGTCAATAAGTAACACACGTGTCACCACTACCCTTCCATTTCCATTGTCTTTCTCACATGTCCTTTCCTGGGTACTTTCCTCATAGGTCCCCCATCTTTTAAAAGGGTAGTTTCGTCATTTACTATTGGGTTTTATATTACTTCCAATTGCCCTTGTGGCTAGGAATTATACAACACACACCCATCTACCTTCAATGTTTTTACATTATTTATCGACATAGTTGGTTTTAACTTTATAATTAAGTATGATAGATTGAATATATTGATGTAAATGTGTTTGACAGATTTTGTCTGAATCATTTAATATGCTTCTTTCTTTTCATAAAAAAACCTTAAAAATGGATGTTTAAATAGAAAAATATTATGTCTTTTAAGTCGACCTTAATATTTTGGTAATTTTTGTATGTCAAACATTTTTCTGAATTTCTTAGTGTTTCTATGAACATTATATGAAAGAGGTTTTATTTATTTATTAATGTTTTTGTTTTTGTTTTTGTTTATGTGTTATTTTGATTTTTTATATTAGTATATGTTTGTCAAAACTAATTTATAGTTGAAAACTGAAGTCTTTATTTATATCAAAATGTTTGTAAAAAAGAGTTCTAAGTTTTTTAAATGGTATAAAACGACAAAACTCTTATAAAAAAAAATACTTGAACTAGCTTTTGAATTAGATTGTCTTTTGTTTGAAATAAAAGTTAAATTTTCTACTTTCAAACAAAAAAAAATTTCGAATTTGAAATTATTCAAAAAATATATAAGTTTCTAAAAGCTTTTAAAAATCGTTGTCGAATTAACATACCATAAGTAGATGCTTTCTAATTTAAACAAAATTGATGCAATAAAAGGTAAATTTAGAGAAAAAAACCGTATTGAAATATATAAATAAGTAGAAGACTAAATGTTATATCTATATGTAAAATATATTTCAGGCAAATCACAATATCATCTAAGTAAGTGAAGATGATATCCAAGCATAAATAGTTTACGAGGACAATAAAATCTAAGTATTGTGTTACAAATATGAAGTAGTTTGTGTATATCAAACTTGTACAAGAATCAATAATAACAATAGTATTTGTTAAAATACAGGTTGACATTTAAATTAAAAAAAAAACAATTAACAATAAACAATAACTAGCTTTCATTTACTTTTTCCTTATTAAAACTAGCATTGGGTTGAGTACTCTTTACACTTTAGTATTAGGTTGAGTTTTTTTATTTAAGCATCTGGAGAATAAAGCATAATGATTATATACATAAATTAATATCTAATGGCAGTTCACATGAATATTATAATATATAACAAATATACACAAGTGATCTTGCGCTATAATTTCGATCGTTTTAATGATTGAAGAACAAATCCGATTCATTCTAAAAAAAATTTGTTGTATTTTTTTAGATATTATTTTATAAAATGATGTTTCATCAATTGATGCTTATATCATGAAGCTAGCATGGTGAAGAGAGCTTAACAGAAAATTTAATCTTATATGTTCTGTGGGATTTATCGTAGAATAATATATGGTAAACATGGTAGATCACTAGATTATATAGATGTGTGATTTTATTTAAAAAAAATGAATTTTTTAAAGAAAAAGTTAGTGTAAAATGAATTACATTTTATAATATACTAAAAAAGATTAATGAACAAATCCATTTGGTGAACCACTCTACATACTTGTGTTTGGTTCTATATTATTCTTCATAATTTGTGTAGATGTTTCTGCATTTATATATTGTATTCAGTATTCACGATTAAGAATATTATATGAGACTATTTTGTGTTTTTATAAAACATCGTATGTTATGACCTTGTTTGTGATATTTTGTGTGTTAACAAGTTTTGATTTCAACTCCTAAAGTAAAATATTATGCACTTGCATTTGGTAAAACTATCTGAAATATGATGGTTATTAGCAAGAAGCTAGATGTTGTAGATTTTATTTGAATATTATTTTACAAAAATAATAATAATAATAATAATAATCAAAGTTTTAAAATATATAAAATTACATAAAAATACATTTACAGGATTAGGATAATAATTATTAAGAGTAATCAATTAAATTTGTTATGGTATAGAGTTGTTTTTTAATTTTTTGTTTAAAATAAAAATTTTAAATTTCTAACCCCTATTTAACCCCTTAAAAAATTCCTAAACCTCCTTTGGTTAAAAAGACCCTTAAGGACTCATCTAATCAATTGAGAAAAGGGAAAGGGAAGACACAGCAGCAATCTGTCAAACTTGAAGGGGACAATTTGAAAAATCTGTCTTCTCCACTCCTGCATCTATTTCCTTTTCCCCTTTCGATGATTCTCTTCTCGATTTGCTCCATTACTTCTCCCCAATCTATAATCTCCTCCTTCCTCCCACTGTTTCCGGCAATTGCTTCTTTCACTATTTCCAGTTGAATCAATTCGTTGGCCTGTGATTCAGTTGTGAGGAGTAATTTCAAATTTTAAGCTCAAACTCAGTGCAATAGTGAACAAGATGCGGATTATAACAACCTTTTTCCATCCAGGTTTCTTTAAATCGGATCATCGGGTACTTGAATCTTATTTTGATGAATGAGTTGTGTAGGAGTTGAGAATCTGATTTGTGTCGATTATGGGCGAAAGAACAAACAATGAGATGGAGAATTTATCTTTACAGACGAAGAAGAGGTTTTCGAGAGATTTATTGCAGAGATTTATGGTGAATAGTACCAATTTAGGAGATCCGAGAGGATCCGACCCGGATGATGAAGTAGAGCTGAATCTCGGATTGTCGTTAGGTGGAAGATTTGGTGTTGACAAGAGTAATAGCTCGTTGGTAAGGTCGTCTTCCATTGCTGCGATTTTGCCGGTGGTAAGGGACGACGACGACGTTTTGGGGGTTAGACAAGGGGGAACCGGAACCGGTCATGGTGGCGCTTATTCGAGTTTGATTAGAACGGCGTCGTTGCCGTTGGAGTCGGAGGAGTGGAGGAAGAGGAAGGAGCTCCAGAGCTTGAAGAGGCTCGCGGCGAAGCGACGGCGGTCGGAGAAGCAGAGGAATCTGACCAAGGTTGAGCGGGAGGAATATGTAGCAGCTATAGGAAAAGGACCACCACCATCGTTGGGATCTGGTCGCTGGGATTTTGGCGTCGCGACAAATACTGCCACATCCGACGGCAGCGGCGGGGGGCTCGCTCCACCGTCGTTGCCGGGATCGGTGGAATCACAAACTTCAAGCAAATCGGAATTCGAGAGCAGGCATCTTCAAGGTAATAATTAATTAATCCATCTATCTCTACCATTTTTATTCCATCAACATCAAAACCAAAAAAAAAAGTTACCGTTATAATTATCCTTTCAGGATCCAGTAACGAAAGCGAAACTAGCCAACCAAGCAATCAGGACGGGAGCAGTTCATCGAGGTCGAAAATGGCGGATCCTGCACTCCGAGTTTCGAGACCCAAAACAGAAAATCCATCAAATAACAACAAGGGGAAAGAGCTCGGGATGAATACATTCGACATGCCATGTGTGTTCACGCAAGGAGACAGCCCTAGTGGCAGAAGAATCGAAGGAATCCTGTATAAATACGGGAAAGGTGAAGAAGTGAAAATAATGTGTGTTTGTCACGGCAGTTTTCTGTCGCCGGCGGAGTTTGTGAAGCATGCCGGTGGGACAGATGTCGTACACCCATTGAAACACATAGTTGTAAACCCTAATTCTTCTTACTTGTAATCCTGTGTTTTATCATAAACCCTAATTATTCTTACCTGTTCTTTGTTTTTCTAGTATTTTATCAAACTCTGTATTTAAGATGCTAATCACTCGTAATTTGTCTCGATTTTGGTTTAAACTTAGACCCAATACTCACATTATCATCATCATCATCATCATCATCATCATCATTATCAATCAGCCATAGCACAATTAGGCTTCTACTGTGTGAAAAAACACTACAAAAAATGTGAAAAAGATTGAAATTAAGCATCATGCTAAATTTACTTCGTCGCAGCAATGGCAAGAACATGACCATGAACGAAGCCGAGGCCCCTTTTTAGAAGATGATGGCTTCTTGGGCCCACTTCCTTCCGTACTACAAATGCAAACAACCAATTTTCAACATAACCCTTCTTTTTATACAATTAAACAACAAAAAAATGGAGTTTATAAAAAATGTTACAAAAAACTTACGAATGAGACGAAGAAACTTTTTTTGGTTTACAAATGGAACACGTCATGCTTTTCCAGCATCCATTCCAACACGACCACTTTGAGAAGTTACATTTACAAGACCACCATAACTTTTTTCTGAAACAAAATTAAGATGCTAAATAAATTGAAAAAAAAAAAAGTAAGTTGTTATCATTTTTTGCTAAGAGATATATAAAAACATACTTAGGTTTGGTGGTGGTGTGTTTGGTGGGCTCATTGGATATGTGATTGTTAAAAGGAGATGGCTGCCATTGATGACCTTCAGGAGGAGCTCCTTCTTCAGCAGGACGTTCAACTTGAGTTTTCCACCTAACAACTTTTTGGGGCTCATCTAATTTAGATGTGGTTTCAATTTTCAAACTTTCAAAATCATTTTCCACATTTATTGGACCAGAAAATGTTGTTAAATCATCGGATTTCACTGATTCCCCGGATTGGAATATGTCATTGTCATGTGTTAAACTATTGGTTATGTGAATGCTGAAAAGGGATTCATTGGAAACAGAACTCCATTCCGATTCCGATGATGATGATGATGATGATGCATCCTGGAATTCAAAATCTTCGGGTCTTTCCATTAGTTGGACTGGAGGTGATTGTGTGGGTGACAAACTACGGAATGTTGATTCCCGTGTGAGGTTTGAAACTGATGATGAACGATTGTTAGGCTCCTCTGGATCCATTTGGGTGGTTGAATCTACTTAAAAAAAAGTTTTGATTTAAGATGTGGAAAAGGAGGGATTATAGAACTTCTTGTGCAAAGATTATCATCATTATTCAGATCAGATCGGCATCAGAAATTCCTCCTTTTCCACAATGATGCTCTGGATCCCCCCTAGAAATAAGTTTTCCCCTTATTAGTTATAAAAATATAAGATATATTAGTAAACAGAATATATGACAAACTGACAATATCATGGGATACAACACAAGTACAGAATCCCATCTAGGATCAAAGAAGTAATTTTGAAGTAAATCTGTCAATTCTGTTACCAATGATCCAGTTGCAGTGGTAATAAATACATAGCCATGGAATTCAATTCATTACAACCTATGTCCGGCATATTCAAGTAGCATCACAGTATGGTATTGATTAGGTTATTTTATTTCATCATCGTCAGAATTCAGAAGCTGGAATCATGAAACAATTGTCCTACATGAATTTCATCAATACCAGATAAATTACAGCATTAGAAAATCGGAAAAATGCAGCTCATGCGGAGCTGGGCATCAAAATTCAACAAAATTCTCTCAAATTTCACAACAAAAACCGCACGCTATCAATCTGAATCGTATACAAAAACTTATATATGCGCGAATTTGCTGAAAGTCTAATTAGAATACATATAACGATAATGTGACTTCGGAAATTACCTCAAGTGGAGCTGCCAATCGAATACAATTTCCTGAAATATTGTCCCCTTTGTATTGTATTGTACGGGGCCAAAAGAGGAAAAAAAATTAGGGTTTTTAGGGTTTGATAACATTCAAGATCGAAAAGTATAGCGATAATTTCGTGAGTTTTTTTTTTTTTTTTTTTTTTTTTTTTTTTTTTTTTTTTTTTTTTTATAAAATAATACAGCAACAGATTTTTGATCCTCAACTTCTTTTGACTTCCCATTCGCGCCATTATTATGCAAACGCTTTTTAGTAACGCCCTTGTGCACGTGGCTAAATGTTGAAGCCTACTCATTAATTTTACCTGAACCAAGTTTTTTTTTTTTTTTTTTTAAGGCTACTCAGGGTTCAAAATGCTTATAATGGCTTTGTTATGGTGTTTCATACCTTCAACACTTATATTTGACGAATGTTTTAACAAAACAGCACTTTAAAATAAAATCTTAAATCATATATGTATATAAAAATAAATAATATTAGAAAAGATATATATATATATATAAAATATATAAAATTATCGTTTTAAGTGACGTCTGACAAACGATGTAGCTCACTACAACCCGTAAAAACTTAAGGCTTGACATTACTGTCAAAATCATATCTAACGTTATTTAGAACCTTGGGTTTTCTGGAGTATCATCACCAACCATAAATTTGGTGGATATCACATTATTGTCACATTATCATCACACAAAACCATGTTATCCCCATATATTCACCACTCCACATCACTATATATCTCTTTTATTTTTTTATTATTTAAATATATTTTTTTAATTATTTAAAATGCAGAGAAAACTATATATATATATATATATATATATATATATATATATATATATAGAGAGAGAGAGAGAGAGAGAGAGAGAGGAGAGAAATTCATTAGACGTTGTGGTTCGTTGTCTACGCCACAAAACACCACAATCTCTACCCAACACTAACCACCAGGGTGGTGTTCACAGATAGTGTTCTTTTCCACATATACTACAAGCCCCTCCGTTGTATGTGCTCCGAAGGGTCTTAGAGCCACCTTCGTAAATTCTTAAAGAAAAATCTCATTAGTAACATGTCTTAAGTTTTATGTCTTAGTATATCATGCCAATCAGCATAAAATAGACAATAAAAGATATGTTATAGGAGCGTTGAAAAGTAATATATATACTCACTTTTCTGTAACCAAATTATCGCTCAAACCCATACAATACTTGAGATTGTATGATACTTATAAAAAATCATCATAAGTTGAATTACCATAATATTAACATATTATTACCTTAAGCATCTCTCACAATAACAAGTATAACATACCTAACATTGTTTAGTCATAATAGCATACCTAACATTGTTGAGTTTATAGCTTTTTCATACTTAAGACATTGAATTTTCTTTTATGTAGAAAGGATACATATATAATAAGTTATACTAAGTTTTTAACCGAAAGATACTCGGTTCTATTGAAAACCATGCAATATCATGTATTTAACATCAGTTTAATGATATATAAGGTCATTAAATATATTAAACATTAGATACAAAACCAATACGTAAGTCGAGTTTTAAATTAATACATAAATCAAGTTTTACTTAAATACTTTTCTTCCTAGTTTTAAGAATGAATAACCGTAACTAATCTACTTAACATAACACCTAAAATTAGAAGCGCTTTATATGATAGTTAACTACAAACATACATGTGGATATATAATGATTAGTATTGATAATTGAACAATAACACAATTTCTTTAGTAGTCTTTGAGACATAAAAGTAAAACTATGTTTACGACATCAGAAGCAATGTTGAGATCTATAATAGTAAAACCTGAATAATCATTTTGATGAAAAAGAATACAATTATGTTGGTCAAGTTGACAACTTCGACATGTGTTGTCACCGAGCTATGCACATTAGCTTTTAATCATCGACCATGTGCAATAATATGGCAACATATTAACTGAACAATGAAGAGTTTTTTCCCAATTCACCAAGTTGTGAATATTCCCATTTAGCAACTCCTTGATTGATGACTTACACACAAAGATTATATGTAAGAGAATGAAACGAAACAACTAAAGAAGATCAGGCTAACAAACATTTTACGATAAATTGAAGAAACATACATGCCAATATAATGATTAGTATTGACAATTGGATAATAAATGCATGTTCTTTAGTAGTATTTAAAAGATAAAAGTAAAACTATGGTTAAGTTATCACATTCGATGTTGAGACCTAAACCGATAAAATTGGAACGATCATTTTTGTTAAAGCAAATACACTTATGTTGGTCTAATTGACAAGTTAGATGTCCGTTGTTACCAAGTCGTGCACATTAGTTTTTAATAAACCACCACTTATAATAATATGGAAACATACTAACTGAATTGTGAGATTTTTTTTGCAATAATATAGCAACATACTAACTGAACTATGAAGAATATTTCCCGCTTCACCAATTTGTAAATATTCCCATTTAGCAACTCCTTAATTGGTGACTTGCACACAAAGATTTGATCTGTATGAGAATGAAGGAGTTGCTAAATGATTAGTATTTTACCGGAAATTAGATCGGGCTAACAAGCATTTTACGGGAAATTGAACAAACATACATGCTGATATATAATGATTAGTATTGAAAAATAGACAATAAACACATGTTCATTAGCGGTTTTTCAAAACATAAAAGTAAAACTATGGTCGGGTTATCATAATCGATGTTGAGTCCTAAAATAATATAATTGGAACATTTATTTTTGTGAAAGCAAATACGCTTATGTTGGTTGACAAGTTAGATGTTTGTTGTCACCAAGTCATGCACATTAGTTTTTAATCAACCACTTGTAATAATATGGCAACGTACTAACTGAACTATGAGGATTTTTTTTTTTTTTTCTGATTCACCAAGTTGTAAATATTCCCATTTTGCATCTCCTTGATTGATGACTTACACTCAAAGATTTCATGTGTAAGAGAACGAAACGAAACAACTCATAAAGATTGGTCTAACAAACATTTTACAGGAATTGAAGCATATCAATTAATGGAGCAAAACTCAACCTTATTAATTAACAATCACAAAAATGCAATGTTTTAGAAAACCGGTTTTTTTGTTGAACCGGTATGATGACTGGTTGCCGTCTCAACCGGTTCGACCGTCGGGTCAACCAGTTTCTATATTTTTCATTTTTTCCCAATTTTCCTACATATATATACATATATAAATCATGAATTTAATGTTTATAAGC